GGGACTCGGTGCTCATCCTGCTGAACCTGCCTCTGGTCACACTGTGCTCAAACATTCAGCATTTCTCTTTGTGTCTAAGAGCATAGAAAGTTTTACAAGTGTGTGGGAGAGCTTAATAACAGAGTGGCAAAGGTTTGTAGGAGTGTGGGAAGGGTTTATAAAGCCTTAAAATATATGTAAATATTAAATAAATAAAATAGTGCTACTTTGCAGAGTTTCACCTATCACGACAGTCTCTGAAAAGTAACTCCCAGGAAAGGTGAGGATCACTGTATTCTTAAAATCACTTATGAGAGTAGATCAGTGAAACCTCTATAAACCAATACAGGTGTACGTACTTGTCAATTTCAAATTGTAGCTTTTACTCTGTGTGTGTGTGGTTTCCTCAGAAGCATTGTGCGAATACGGAGATGTTCACTTTTTATTGGAAATATTGATTCTTCAAATTGTTTCAAACTGTGCAAGCTTTGTCACAAGCAGAGGATTCATGCTCCCTGACAGAGTGCTTGCCTGGCATGTGCAAGTTCTTGGGTGGTGGAGTCACAACTGCTGGTCAACTTGAAACACCCGGCGGACAGAATCAGTGTGGTGCTGGGTGTGGAAGGTTCCCCTGAGGATCGTTGCCAACAACATACAAAGGAGAGCTAGACAGGAAGAAGAGGGGCTCTTGGTTCCCCAGGAGAAGCTTGTCATTCTGACATTCCTCATGGGAAGTGGGCCGCTCTCATCATTCAAGGAGCTCAGGGATCTGTTCACACTGAAAACGGCTGTGGTTCTCCTTAGGGGAGCTCTGGTCCTTTCTTTGAGCATTGCTTCCTAGCTCCAGTGCAGATGCTTCAGCCTGCTGGCACAGAGCCCTCATTCCACTGACACAGACTTTCTAATTTCCAACACTGAACTTTGGGCCTTCCCAGCACACATCCATAAAAGAGACTTGCATGAGACATTCTCATGGGCTCTAGGTCTCCAGTTTCACTCATGAGGGGCAATGTCTGAGGCTTTAGCTGGGCTCCAGCAGGAAATTGCTATAGGATTCACGTCCTCACCTGGAATCTTTGGATTTTTAATGTATGGACAGATTGCCTGAACTCTTTTGTACTTGAATCTTTAGGTCACTATTATTAAATATTCTTATAAATTATGTGTCCTGTGTTATCTTGTTTCCCTGGCAAACCCTGGTTACTGCACTGGGTTGAATCCCCAGCATTACAGTGGAGAACAAACGTAGGCAGTTATGGGGGCAGGTGTGTACACTCACAAGCATTCTGAAAAGTAGAGTCAAGGGATTAAAATGTTCAAATCCAATGTGGGCAACATAGCAAGATAGCCAGAGTCCAGATTTCTCTTTTTTGCTTGTTTGAGCAGAGTCTCAGTGTACAGTGAGTGTTGGATTTGCTTTGCACTTACTGTGCACCCCAGGCTGGTCTTCAACTTGCTGTGATCTTTCTGCCTCAGCCTCCTGAGTGCCTGGATTATAAGCAAGTGTCACAAACCCTGGTGACACTAGTCTTAAAACAAACATATACATAAAGCTGAGTATGCAGTGAGAGAATAGGCTCTGAGTTCATGAGTCACAACCTCCATCAATCAACATTAAAATTGAAAAATAAAATAAAAATATGCTGAGAATGTGGATCAATGCAGAGACTGTAAATTCAGTTCAAAGTCCACCACCAAGAAACAAAACAAGTGTATGACAGCTATATAAAGACAGTGATATCATCGCCAAGGAGAACAAATCAGAAACCTGTATGGAACTGTGACCTGGGATTGTGTCACATTTCATAGCAGAGAGTTTGTGCAAGCAGGGTGGCACAGAGCAGCCACTGAAAGTGTGAGAGGTGCTGAGAATTAAGGTCAAGGTTATTGGACCCCTGTGACAAGGGGAGGTGAGCAGGTTACTGTGTAGGTGACTCTGAGTTTTTACTGAGACCCTCTGAGGAACACATAACTGAACCACTGTAATTTCAGGATCAGGTCTAAAGCCTGGAAGCCTCCTCTGTACGAGGCTAAAAAAAAAAAAAAGAACTTGCTACAAAGAGATAGGGTTGACTCTTTCTCCCCACAGCACTAGTGATTGAACTCAGGAGGTACTCAGCTTCATCCCAGCATATTTAAATTTTAGAGGTAGGATCTTAAGATGTTTCCCAGTCTTGCTGATCCTATGCTGGGCATGGTGATACAGGACTGTTACACCGAAAGTAGGAAGGCTGAGGCAGGAGCATCACCATGATTTTGAGAACAATTTGGGCTACATAGTGAGTGTCAGGCCAGCCTGATTTACGCAGGCAGACCCTTTCTCAGGAAACCTACAAACAACAAAAAACACAATAGGATCATTATATCTCAGCTAAAAACCTTGCTGATATCACAGGCATGAATGGCAACATTACTTCAATTGTGACACTTAAGATCTAACACTTGCCAGGAGTGGTGGCACATGTTTGTAATCCCAGCATTCAGCAGGCTGAGGGAGAAGGATCATAGCAAGTCTGATACCAACTTGGACGATAAAGTGAGATCAAGGTCAGTGTGAAAGGAATGGTGAGTCCCTCTCACAAGGAGATGATATAAATAAATGAAAAATAAATAGATACTAAGATCCAACTCTATCCCTGAGGGCCTTGAGGGACACGTACTAGATGATGCCGCAAGTGGGAAAGGGTGTTTCCAATGTGATCAGCTGAGGGAACTGGCTTGAGAAGGTGAAATCTAAGACAGGAGTGGATATGGAGCTGAGAGGGCAGTTCCTATGGGCAGATGAGATGTTCATACATTTCCAAGTCTCCTTGGGGAGGCTGCAGAGGAGGAAACATGGGTCCAACCCCACGACCTGGTCGTCCTAGTGGATCTGACCAATGACCTTTGTCTTTAGTGTCAGGGTTCTTCCCTCAGGGGATATTTCCCATGCAGAGTGCATCCATAGGTAGTGGCCAGGGCTTTCAGTTGGAAGAATAACATGAGGCTGAAGAAGGTTCTGTTTGAGTAAAAAGCAGTTCAGAAATTCAAGTAAACTAAACTGAAAAGATCCAGGAGTTTTTTGTTTGGATTTCTTCAGAGTTTCTTGACACTGGTGATGAAGCAATATGCCATTCCCCCAACCTGTTTCTCTGTTCCTTGTTTTGTTTTGCTTTATTTGTGTTGTGTGTGGTGTCACTGCAGCCCCCGGAGGGCAGCCTTCCCTTGGGCAGTGAACCACTTTGTCCTCACAGCACAGGGCCAAAACCTGAGTCTGCTCAATCCACCCATGACCAGTGTCAAGGATTTTGGTGTCACGTGACATTAAGAGTCCCAGGGAAGGAGTTTTTCCCATTACTCTTAGAGTGTTCCAGGCTTTGAGTGTCGCCCTCGGGCCACAGGATGCTGTCTGCACAAAGTTTTTTATCACAACAGCTCACATGGCCTCATATTACCTGGAAGCTTCCCATTTGCTTCTTTGACCTTGGGCTCAGCAGTGGCATCCCTCAGCACCTGTGTTCCTGAGCACACTCCCTGTGCTTCCCAAAGGAGCCGTACTTTAGAAGTTGGTCTCTGAAAGGCATTTCCTGATGGCAACCATTGAGTAACCCAACAGAAAGGTACAGAAATCAGGAAGAAAACACTGACCATAAATGTCCACAGCTGTTATCAGCTCACTCTGGAACATTAGGGCTGAGGATAGGTCAACTGCCAGCCCACTCTACACATTCAGAAGGACTTTGACAAAAAACTAAAAGCTCCTTGGCTACCGCTCATTGACAAGGCTCTGCAATGAGTCCCAGGGACATCGGTGTGTCAGAAAGCAGGGAAAAACCCAGGAAACATGGAGAGAACATTTGGTTAGAAAAAACTACAGGTTGGAAGGGAATATACAGTATGGAATATCTCTGTTTGCTGCTGTGAGTTCCTGAGGGCAAACCTCACTGATTGGAACACTCAGGCTTTTCCTCCTCAGTGACTACAGATTCACAAGTTCCGAGCTAGAAACCAGGTTAAATGATTGTGGAAGACACCAGATGATTCACACACAACTGTTTATTTATGATCATTCCTTTACATTTACGCACACATTTGTGCAAAGACTGAATTAACATCTAACAACTCAAATTCTGGTTTCTGACCCTGTGTAGGACTCAGGTCCACAGAAGACATTTCCCCTTGCAGGTCCATGATTCTCCAACATTGCTGCCTGCTACCAAGCTGTCCTTTTCTCACTCACACTGAAAGAAGAGCTCTGCGTCCTGGGGCCAGAAGGTAGCATGGGAAATGTGCACTCAACTAGATGGGGATACAGGCCGGGCATGGGTTAGGGTGCATGTAGTACACTGTCCTTTGGCGAAAGAGTTCATGGGAAACACAAAACAAGAT